TGATTCATAACTACTACGCTACCAGAGTTCCTTTGAACTTCTTCTTTAAGTACCTCTTGAAATAGCTGAATGCTGACCAGTTCTTTTTGGCATGGTTACTCTGTATATTTCTTTTATCTTCTTTTGATACTTTTTGCATCATTCAATATTTTGCCCATAGAATCATTCAATATTACAACTCAAGGCTTAATATTTTTATTCATTTCTTTGAGCTTCAGAAATACAGAACTTGTCCTTCTCTTTCTTTTCTTTTCTTTTTAATTCCAGGTCTTTGCAATTTCATTATAATACTTTACTTTGTGTCTTCTATAGCCACCCTTTGAAATGGTTTGTTCAGTTCCTTTACTTTATTTCTTCCATTTGCTTTTGCTCTTCTAAGTTCAAGAGAGAGTTTCAGAGTCTCTTCTGAAAGAGATGTTCTTCCATTTTGAACATCCATCTTTTCTTTCCTTTCTATCTTTTTAATGACCTTTTACTTTCTTCACGTATGATGTGTTCAATGTCATCCCACAACTCATCTAATTGTGTGTAATTAGTGTTCAATGCGTCAAATCCATTATTGAGAAGAGCTCTAAATTCATGTGGTATATACTCAAGCTCACACTTTGGCTCTCTAAAGATTTCAAGTGGAAGAAAATGAAGTTTTATGTTTATACAAAGATTTATAGCCTTCCAAGTTCTATTTAGGATCTCTGAGTCAGAACCAAACTCAATGGCACTTAACAACAACATAGGTCTCAAGGCATGAAAATAATCCTTTGCTATCTTATATCATCTGCGCAATGATTTTACCATCCAGACTCCTGGTTTTGATCATGCATTCCTGATTCTTGGTGCAGGTTCCTTTGTCTTGGGTTTCATCCCATTTTCTGGGGGGAAACTTTACTCCCTCGGATTTAGTTGGTCCATTCTTCTCATTCATTTGAGTAGCAACCTCACTCCCTCAACTTTTAAGGTAGGCCCATTTACCTGGCCCAACTGAACTGCAGCTCAGTACTCTGAGCAACTGAGTTAGTGAAGATCGGACTTTTTGCAAGCTAGGAGGCTGTGACTCATCCTTTGAGAGAGGAGACTGGTTCTACCCTTTGGAACTGAAGCAGCCCTATTTTCTGTGTTCCTTTCAAATAGTTGTACTGATTTTTAAACTGCTCCATGGATGGTCCCTTTACTTATGGGAAGTCAACATGTTTTTAAACTAAGTGCCTCTAATGACACATTTCCTGTCAGTAGAACTATAAGAGGATAGCAACTTTTCTTTTCCTTTCTTTTTCGTACTATTACTTTCCCTTTCAGGTTAAATTGTTGGAAGTTTTACTTCAGTGGTTGAATAGATCCATCAGTCAC